GTGCGTGTTTGGGTATGTGTATGTAGGTGTTTGTTTGTGTATTTATATATCATTTTGCCGTATCCTTTTGGCAATCTAATATTTTTGAGGTGCGCTTGGTTTTAAGTGCGTTTGATCGATAGAAAGTATACATCAGTATGAGCATTAGTGTATGAATCTTAAGATTTGTAGGTCTTAATTATTGATTATCATTGAACTTTTGTATAGCTACTTTTCTGGAAAGTAGTCATTTTATCCTTCTTCTTCCACCTACTGACACTATAGAGCGACTTCGCTGCTCATGTGGTGCTGATGATGGGCAGTGCTATGTGTATGAGTTTCACATCGCAGAATTGCCGAACACTTTCGCAGACGCTGATGATGGGGTTTTTCTTCACCATTTGGATACAGGTTTGTATTCGAACGAGTTCTGCGTCCCTGAAATTGAGTACTTCCGAGTTCGAAAATTCATTTTTACAAACCAATACGATGTTACTTGTCAGTAGTCCTTCATGCTCGTGTAGGTTTTGCGTTGATATGCATATGCGCGGAATATATTTCTGACATCCTAGAATGTATTGAACTTGTTGATAATATTTATAAAGACCACGCATTGTGCATAGTTGATACGCTTACTTCCTGACAGAATTGAGAATCGTGTGTAGCTATTTAACATATCGCTTCAATATGACTCAAATCATGGGAGATTTTTATTCGATCTTCTCTGTACTAATCCTCTATATTCCTCTCATTCTTGCGTTGAATCTAAAGCAATTCAGCTGGATCATCACGAATAATAGCGAGAAGAACTTCTTACCGCCGCAATTATCACTTGGTTTTTCCCTGTAAGTAAATGAAATGGTTGAGTCCATTTTTGGCCTAACTTCGTGGTGCTCGGCTTACATGTTTAGTAGCGCTCTTCAAGTGCAATGTATTATAATGTTGTCAAAAACTGAAATGCATACTGAATACTTTACCGGAGACTTGGTCATACTCCAGAGGACAAGATTTAGGTGCCACTTTGATTATAACGAGCTGCCTTGCAGAAGTAGTTTTATGGTACGACTTCTGTGGCATATTGTTCCTGAAGTATACGAAATTGTACCGAAACTTACTATCCATCACAATATCCAATCTATATTACAATAGCGAGCTGACGTCGTTTCTTCAATCCCAATTTCCACTTCTGTATATCTACTACAAAGGCTTCCCGACATCGTTGGGGTGTGCCTGCTTTGGTTTGCTGTGCTATCCAGCCCAGCATCGTTCCTTAGTATCGAAGGAACTACAGCGAGATTGGACAAAGATACGGTAAGTCGTGGTAGGCGAACTATCTTCCACCCAGAGATCATACAAAGTTTTTAATATATACATATATATATATATATATATATATATATATATATATATATATATATATATATATATATATATATATTATATATATATAATATATATATATATATATTGTGTAGTATTATAT